CCGCCCCCCCCCCTCCGCCCCTGGCCGGCTGACAGACCCCAAATACGGGGCGCTGGCCGTAGGAGTGGGCGCTCGGGTGGCCACGAGTGACACCCTGGGGGCGTGGAGCGCCTTTAAACGCCAAATTTCGAGAGGGGAGGCTATGAAGCCGTGCTGCCTTCCAGGCTTCCCCGGGCTGAACCTCTCTTTGTAGTCCCAAATCCAAACTTACACTGTTTGTGTTCAGATACACGGCTCTCCTGGCTTGGAAGCCCCGCCAGAAACACTCAGAGTAAAGGCACTCTATAAATACACTATCTCATTTATACACATGCAGTCTAGTAGTGCACCTGAGCACCATAAATTAATATGCACCACATATGTTGCCACTGTGCAATCTGAGATCCGTTTGATGGGGTACATGATACTTGCTTATAAAAATTGTCACAGCAAGGTTCCCCCAAGTTAAAATAGCTTCCCAGCCTCGAGGCATCCAGATACTCACTTTTGTCATTTAATACCGGCAAGTGCTTAGCATTTATTGAGCACTTTTAAATTGTTTATGTTAAGGGCACAGATTCAGACCTTTTACCTTTCATCAGGATAACATTTTAAACTTTAATTTTTACATGCCTACATATACCTAGAGATCTCAGGCCTTTTTAAGAAGAGGCAGCTATTAAAAACATTTTTTAAAGCTCAGCAATGTGCTCACCAGGTCCAAACCAAAAAAGGCTGAGGAAAGGAAAGAAATGTATGCTAACAATAATAACAATAAATGCAAAACCTCGGAGATGATCCATATAAAAAGGAAATCAAAAGCAGACTTTTTCCTCTTTAAGTGTCATTTATATTAAAAGCCCTAGAGGGGTTTTTAGTTACAAACTGCAAAAGCAAAATTACATATTCCTGTAACTGCTATTGTTTGGAGAAAAAAATCACAACAACAACACTGAACACCAACATTTACATTTGTTTATAATAAGCAAGATTTAGGTCAGATGGGGTCTTACCCAGAGCCCTGGGAGCTGTATTTGGAGGTGTACAATTTGCTAGGCCAGCTACTGCCTAAGCACGAATGGGTGGAACTAAAGAGCTATCACAAGCCAGCTCTGGAGCTGAGGGAAGCAAAGGCATATATATTTATTTAAAGGATACAGATCAGATAATAACTGGATTAAAAAGAGAAGAAAGAAGGAGAGAAGGCTCTTCCCCTGCTCACACTGTTTATCTGCCAGGAACACTTCGCTGCTTCCCTACAGCCATCCATGAAACCTGATGCCAGGAACAGGCTCCTCTCCCGCTGTGGTGCTGGGAATATCCGAGTTCCCAGGGCCACAGAGAGGTGGAGGAGACAAGGAAAAAAAAATCTCTTTCTAAAATGCAGGGTAAAAATAGCATCTCAAAGAAAATGTCCTTGGTTGGGATAAGGGCGAGATCCTGTCTTTGAGAGCTTGCCCTGGTCAGTCCAGATATATGATTCCCTTGATACCCCGTTAACCTCCGTGTAGCTAATATTGGAGGCAGCAGAACTATGGTCCAAGCTGCACTCTCTGCCAGACCCAGATTCTCACCATTGCCCAGGAAAGGAGGATCAGCCAACCCTGCTTTCCCTTCTCCCCACCTTACCTGAGCCCCCAGGAATGTGAGGATATTTCTTTTCATAGATAGCACACCCTCCCTCGTGTCGTGATAACATCATCAAAATGAATGAAAAGCAACTGCTGACTAGTTACCTTATTATTTATGGAGTTGAAGCCGTGAATTAAAAGCCACCTGAGAAAACTGGGTTGGGTCTGAAGAATTCACCTAGCTGATATCCAAACAATATACAGGGCTTCAGCAGAGCAATTATTGCACACTAGCTCCCTGGGCGAAATCAAAGGGATGTCTGAGCATGCAGTATTTATGAGACTGTAACATCTTCTCTTGTCTCGGTGGAGTGAAATATGATTTGGAAATACAGTTTAAGCTCAATCAACTTCTTCATCAGAAATAGAAATACACATGGTGGATCTTCACACTAACTCAGTAATTACTTAAGCCTTGTAGGGAAAGGTGTTTGGTTTATTGAAGGCTGAGCCCTGCTTAGCTTAAGCATCTCCATTGACACCCAAGGTACCCAAAGGAGTATAGAGAAAAGGATTATGCTCTCAAATAAGGCAAATTTTAGGAAAAGAATCAATTTCTGGAATGACAGAGAAAACACATATAATAAAAACTTGTTATCACAGCAAGGGGAGAGAGAAGGGGCTAGGGAGAAGAGAAGGGAGAGAGTAGGGTGGATGGGAGACAGCGTGGCAGGCTGGCTTGTGATTCTGATGGTGGGGTAAGGGAACGAGTTAGGATTTTCTTTGCCTTTAGATTTTCATTCACAAAATGAATTTTTAACAAATCATATCCTGTTGGCATACAAAGGTAAATAGACTGTATGAGACCCTCCTTCTCTGGTTGAGGATACCATGCTCTTAAATTGCAAAGGAGTATTTTTGTTTGAGAAGTGGTTTTGACGGGGTGTGGGTGCTAAACATTTGGGATTCTGCTGAGTAGAACCACAAAGAGAACTTTTGCTGATGAGGAGGAGGAAAAAAATAATAGAGAAAAATAATAGAGGAGGATGCAATAATAAAACATCAAAGAAGTATGTGGTTACAGAAGAATCTGCTCCAACAGAAAAATGCTGGAAGTTGCAGTAGTTGGGGAGCAGCTGGAGAGAGCAACAGACAGTGCAAGCACGTGGGAAATGGTGGGAGATGAAGCATGAAGAGGAAGAACTAAAATCCAGTGAAAAGCAAAGAAGCCAATGCCACTAAAGCTGTCAGCTTGCAGTCATTATTTTGGATTTGTCTTTCTATTTGGCTATTTTTGTTATTTATCCCTAGTGAGAGTCCAGGCATTCAGTTTTACTTATTTGTGAAATCTGCCTTTGCTTTCCTGTTGCTATTCCTGAATAAGACATGTACGGGGATGAGACAGGTGGGCTGGGATAAACTGCTGTGGTTTTCCAGTAAAATAACAATTTTAATGCTTTGCAGCCAAAACCTAAACTTGGTGTCAGGCAAACCAGATTGAAGAAGAAAATGTTCAAGGACAATATTTCATTGAACAGGTTAAGCTTAACAATTTCAGGAGAAATTATAACTAGTTTAGCACTGGTCTGCAATTCTGCAGTCTCAGGTACTTCTTCACAAATTAGTGGCAAGTGAAATGTAGAAAGGCAGAAGGGTTAGCGCAGGGGTATCCAAGCATCGCAGAAATTATTTGCAGGCTTTCACTGATTTGTTGCCCATCAGTAATTTCGCTTTCCCTTAATCAGTAGGAATAGAATTATTAGATTTAGCTACAAGTGGTTTAATACCCCAAGGTGCAAACTACAGCCAAGTAATAAAGTATTTTTACCATGTAAATGAAAATAATTAGTGGTAAAAATAGTCCTAATTTTTTTTTTAGGTGATAAAAATTCTGCGAATCATGCTGTCATTAGAAATCGCTTACAAAGCCGTGACTGCAAACAGTAGCTGTACGAGTGAAGTGATTAGTATCTTGCCTGTGCCTGTTATTTGACAGGACCAAAAATACACACTTAAAAATACACTCTTTGAATATAGGTTTCAGTCCTTTAAACTGATGTCTAGAAGATGACCCATCCTACATAGATGCTAATTTGAGAGTTGGTTGTTTTTAATTACAGAAGCAATACACACTTTGTTTGGCGGTTCATTTGGTTTTTTTAATTAAAAAACCCACAAGAATATTAATATCAGATTCTGAGGCATGCTTAGTATGAAATCTTTAAAAGGCATCCTCCAAAGGAAGGAAATTCAAAATGAAAGGTGGAAATTCTGCCCTGAAGTTTTATCTGTAGAGGGGAAGTTTATGATAGTGATTCTAGCAACTAGCTCATTTGAGAATAACTCTGCCCGGGGAATAAATATGTTTTTTATAAAAGTCTGGAAGTGTGTAACCTTAGCAGTGCCCCAGCAAGGGAGCTGGTGGCCCTGGGTGGGTTTTTTGGGCTGCAGAAGCCCCTGGTCTGGAGGCCGCAGGGAGCATTGCGGGTCTCGGGCACTAGAGGGCGCAGCCACAGCTTCTCACGGCAGCCCTACCA